TGTGTCTAATCTCCTCTGCCTGATTTCAAGGTTCTCCAAGATTCATCTCTTTAGGGTGTGGTGAGCCCAGCTGAGAAGCAGACCTATCATCAGGCCTCATTAACTAAAAAAACCAAAGGACTGGTATGGAAAATCCCCCAGAGGATTGCCTGCTGAAAAATAGACATATGTGTAGTGAATTCTTTTCCTTTTCAATTTATAAAATTGAATTCTTTTTAGCGAATTCTCTTCCTTTTCAATTCATAAAACTCTATTTTTTAAGATTTAACTAATATTTATTGTCTGCCATGTGCCAGGCACTATGCTAGCCATTTTGAGATGGTTTATCCCCCTTCCTATATTTTGAAAACATTGAGTGTTTTTTATAATAAAGACTTACAAAGGAAAAACAAAGTGGCTCATAATCCTACTCTCTAGATTACTTCTGTTGATACACACACACATACACACACACACACTAAAAGTGATACTTTCCTTGAGAGAGAATCCAACAGTATAGAAAGGAATAAAATGAAAAGTAAAATCCTCCTCTTCCCAGTCTCCTACTTTATTTCCTCTTCATAATGGTAATAACTGTTACAGATTTCTAATATGTACTTCCAGAAAAATGTTCTATTTATTTACCAATACAGTTCTATTTATTTACCAATATTCCTTTAAGACAATTTACACAGAAGACACACTATCCTGCCCTTTGTTTTCTTTTTCCTTAAAAATATATTTTATCTATAAGTGAAAAAAGTATATATATATATAAATATAAAAGTGAAAAAAGCAAGGGGTGTGACCTTGAGATATATATATATATGAAGTCCTTCTATCTCAACCCTTACAGATATAAAAGTGCCTTTGAATCAATCTGCTTTATTCTTTTTAAAGGATGCACAGCTTTCACATAATGGATATTTCTTAATTTATTTACTCAGACTCATATTAATTAATATTTAAGTATTTTCCAGATTTTTGCCACTAAAAACACTGTTACAACTTATTATCCTTGTGCATATAATTGGGGTACATTTTCAGTATATCTGAAGGGTTTTTTTTGATAGGTATTGCTAAACTGTAAGCTTCCAATCTAAAAGTTTTGGTATAACTGACTCTGGACATTAGCAATTAGATTTGGTCAGTTTGTTATTTAGTTCTGAATCTCACGGTCCCTCTTAGACAGGATGAGCAAAATGTTAAGTGTTTCCTGATATTGCAAAGTTTCTTTCTTAAGGCCGTGGGCCCTCTCCAACCAATCAGAATCCCTGCTCAGGGCTAAACTTTGTGAACTCACGATTGAATTTTCCTCAGTCAGGTTTTGATTTTGGATTTGTGTTTCTTTGATTGATTTTTTCCCCCCTCTTCTCTTCCTTTGCTACTTGGATTTTGTGTTTAATGGTTGGGAAGTTATTGCATTCAGTCTTATTGTGTTGTGAGGTGGTAGAAAGGAAATGAAGAGCTGGTGGCCACTCGTATGAGAAAATTGAACTTTGGCAAAGTTAAGATTTGCCATGGTTCATATAGCCTAGACTATCTTCCTATCTATGTATCATCTATCTATCTATCTATCTATCTATCTATCTATCAATCTATCTATCTATATCTTCTGATTGTCTGGGGTGGGGGGAATTGTACATTCTTATTTTAAGACAACCAAACAATTCAAAATGTTCAACGAATATAACAAAAACCAACATCCATAAATCACTCAAATTTTTGTGAACATTCTTCCTGATAATTCTCTATACATCCATACATATTTATATATACTAGTAATATTCTGCATTAAGGATAATTCTATCCTTTTGGCTCAAGTAGAGAAATAACATGTTCATCAATAGATAGAATATAAAGTTCAGAGTAAAAGGTTTCAAAGGAAGCAAATAAGAATGTTGTGAAAGATGACAGGAGCATCCAGTCTTCTAGACCATAATGCTGCTATTCAGAGAAACAGGGAGCCTGGAAAGGAAAGGTAAGACTTCAGACTGGTCCATTGTGAAGTCTGATTAGCCAATGGGACACTTAAGTGCCTCTATGACCATGGTAATGGAAGTAGACATGCAGACTGGGCAAGAATCATTTGTATATATATATCCTAGTGGAAGTCTTGAATTCACCCAGGGGAGGAAAGACTTGGCAGCCAGGGCTGGCTTACAGAGAGTATTTGAGCCACTCAGGGGTAGAAATGGGAAGGAAATTATTTTGTTAGCAAATCAGAGCATTGGGACTTCCCTGGCGGTCCAGTGGTTAAGACTCTGTGTTCCCAATGCAGGGGACACGGGTTCAATCCCTGGTAGGGGAATTGAGATCCCACATGCCCTGCAGCACGGCCAAATAAGATAAAATTAAAAAACAAACAAGCAAAACAAAAAAGGAAATCAGAGCATTAATTCCTCACTGTTACAGATAGTTAAGAACAACAACAAAAAAGCCATTTATTAACACAAAAACATGCATAATGCATATACTGTAATTTGGCAATATTCATAGGCTGGATATGGCTAACAGAGGATTCGGTCATGTCCTATTATAATAGTATTTAGTGGAGTAGACGAGGTGGGAACAGGGATCACTATTAAAATCGCTGTAAAGAAGATGTATAATTAATGGTTAAAGGACAAGATCTTGGAGAAATTTAGGAATAAATAAAAGAAACATATCCACTGATTACAAAATTCAATACTGTCAAAAACACAAACCAGTAGAGAGCAAACGTATGGACAGCCAGGGGGGAAAGCGGTGGTGGTGGGGTGGTGGTGTGATGAACTGGGAGATTGGGATTGACATGTATACACTAATATGTATAAAATGGATAACTAATAGGAACCTGCTGTATAAAAGAATAAATAAAATAATATTAAAAAAAACCCCACAAACCAATAATATTTAGTAAAACAAGCTAACTACATTTTTTATTCATACTTCTTTTTTGCCCCAAATGCTTTTAGGAAATAAGCTATTTTAACTTTTTCCTCCTGTAATATTTTGTCCTACAAAATTTTATTAGGATCATTCACCTAACGTTTTTCTTTTCCATCAAAGAAAGCGAAATTTAACATTATGGTAAAAAATTAGGGTAATATAAACTCAGATTCTAAATATTTTTGTTTGATTTAAAGAAAAACTGTTACCTAGATCAGTCATTCTCAAACTTTAATGTGTTTCAGAATCAACTGAAAGGTTTCTTAAAATACAAATTGCTAGCTCTCACCTCCCAGAGTTTCTCATGCAATAGGTCTGGAGTGAGTCCAAGATTTTGCATTTCTAACAAGTCCCAGGTGATCTGATGTTCCTAGACTAGAGACCACACTTTGAGAACCACTAGTTTAGATAATGGACATGTTCCCCCACCCCCTTCCTTTATTCTTTGGTTTCTTTTCAAACTTTTGATATCTCCTTCTCCAGAGTATCTCAGTGAGGATCAGATATATTCAATCTGCATTGCCTTTAAAGTTAAAAAAAAAAAATCACAGTGATATTTGAAATACAAATGCCATCAGTTGCAGTTGAGATTTTAATTTAAAGGAAAGCTGAAACATCTTGACCATTGAATCCTCTTATTTATTTCTCACTTGGACATCGTCACAAATGTTATTCTTGCCTCTCACCCCCTGATCCTCCCCCTCCCCTTTACTGTATCTCTTAATAGGATACCAGGCATTTAGTTCCTTCTTTTTTTTTTTTTTATATTTATTTATTTATTTATTTGGCCGTGCCGGGTCTTAGTTGCAGCATGTGGGATCTAGTTCCCTGACCAGGGATCGAACCCAGACCCCCTGCATTGGAGCGCCGAGTCTTAACCACTGGACCACCAGGGAAGTCCGTCGGTTCCTTCTTAACAGTCTGACACAAGCCCCACCTCCACAGCCAAGCTTGCTCATTTCCCATCAGCCAGTGACTTCTGTAGTGTTGACTCCTATAGTAATCATCGGCTACATTTCTCGTCATACCGAATATGTGCCACCATGTACTTTTGGGCTGTGTATGTTAGTATGTATGTATGTATATGTATGTATGTATGTATTATTTTTATCCCCTATTCTGATAATAAGCTATTACAGGCAAGTCTCACATGCTTTGACTTTCTGGCATCTCCATTGCTAAGCACCATGTTTTAAACCTAGCTCACCAAGTGTTTGATGCTAATGAGAGCTGCCAAGTGTGGAGACCAATAATGCAATAGCTGGCTTATCTTTTGGGAGCTGACAAAATTTCTTCTGTAGAATTTTTTTCTTGGCTACATACAAGCCAAATTTAGCTGTAAAATCATAAGCCTAGATAGAACACTAAAAAAAATCTTTTACTTGCAAATGTAATAGCTGCAAAACTATAATTAGGTTTAAGGACCAGAGGCGTGGACCTACATTTCAATTCAAATCAAGGCGATTTAGAAGTGATAGTATAGAGAATGGCTTCATGTATATATATATATATATATATATATATATATATATATATATATATATATATATAAAGGAGAATTTACTTTTGCCTTGTCAAAAATTAAATTGTGCTTTCTGTATTGATGGTGGGTATGTTTCTGCCGGTCTCTTACTCTAGGCTACAACAGGCCCTAATGGAAAAGTCACATACCCGAACTGCTTCTTGAAGACTTGCTTTCACATTAAGGTTATATAGTTTGCTCAGATTTTATATAAGGTTCACACTTAGTTGCTTCTGCATTTGTCTCTTTGTAATGTTATCACTGAAAGACAAACCTCATAAACTAAATTCTCCCTTAAATGTAGCGTACGCGTGCACGCACAGGCCCTACCCTCAGCAGATAATTGTGAGGGGCCTTTAACACCAAAAACACAGGAAACCAAAAACACTTTCCATACACTAGCCAGATAATTTCCAGATGTACTTAAGTATTGTATTAATGAGCTCATCTCTGGTCTAACAACCTATATTTGTTTCAGTTTTGAATGGTTGGTGACTGGATTTGGTTTTGCTAGTGCTTTTGCACCTTTCCAATTGAGCAGACTGTAATGACACAATTACCCAATGTGCGCACAGCGTTAAGCCGCCCAGCCCACTCCCTCACTGTAGACCTGGTAAGTGAAACCCACACACACCACTTTCCACAGTCTGGTCCAACGATTACAAATGATACACGCCCAAAAGCAAACTGAAAAATGCTTTAAATCTGGGGCACGTATAGCCTTTCAGGCTAGCAAAAATTGACGCAGGCAAGTGAAAGGCAGCTTTTGGTAAGTGACTCGGGTTTTCAGGGCTGTTAGCACTTTTGGGCATCGGTACCTCCTAGACTCCTGATCCCACTACTAACCAACCCCCAAATTCAAAGTTACCTATACTTCAGGCAAGTGTCTAGCTCTTCTGATGACTGGGTGGTTGGCCCTAAAAAGGGCCTTTGGATTGTCACGTAGCACAGAAGCTGCAGCTTAACCTCCGAAGCCATACAGTGTGCGTCCCTGCCGTTTGAGCGCGTACACCACGTCCATGGCAGTGACCGTCTTGCGCTTGGCGTGCTCCGTGTAGGTGACCGCGTCCCGAATGACATTCTCCAGGAACACCTTCAACACACCTCGGGTCTCTTCGTAAATGAGGCCGGAGATGCGCTTGACACCCCCGCGCCGAGCAAGACGCCGGATGGCGGGCTTGGTGATGCCTTGGATGTTATCTCTCAAAACCTTGCGGTGGCGCTTAGCGCCACCCTTGCCCAAGCCTTTGCCGCCCTTCCCTCTTCCAGACATAGCGGACGAGGTCTGAAAACACCTTTGAGACAAGCAAGGTCGGCTTTTCCCCTGATATACAAGAGTAGCGGACCAGATTGAAAACCGAAAGCGCGCGGGCGGGAAGCTGTCTAAATGGGCCCAACCCCCTCGACAGTTCGTCATTTCTTTTCTGCTGTTTCCCTATCTCTCCCTCACCCTCCACAGCTCCCTTCAACGGACTCTCACCGTTTATTTTTATTTATTTATTTAACTTGTCTATTTTTGAAGTATAGTTGATTTACAATTTTATATCAGTTTCAAGTGTATCGGCAGCGATTCAATATTTTTATAAATTAGACTCCGTTTAGGTATTATAAAATACCAGTTACATTCTCTGTGCGGTACGATATATTCTTCTAGCTTATTTATTTTATATATAGTAGTTTGTATCTCTTAATCCCCTGACTCTTATATTGCCCCTCCCCTCTCGGGCTCCAGTCTTTTAAAAGATCTATTTGCCAGAGTCCCCGGGAGAATTCGGATCCCAGCTTCCGGATCCCGTTGCTGTTTTCGCCTCTGTCTCTCTCCCCGTGTTCCCCCGGAAGGCATTAAATTTAGGCTAGGAAGAAAGGAATAGTGGAGATGACCAGAGGAAGAGCAAATGGAATCCAGAAACGGAAAGGAGAACAGAGCACCAGCGCCGTGTACAACACCGACAGAAGGATCCCAGGCTTCGGAACCACGGTTACATAAAACTGCAGCAAAGGCGGTTCCCACAATTAGCCTGACAGACCCAGTAGGCGATCTCAAGAGCAGCGGCACCTTGGATGTGCGTGGAGGCGGAAGCAGGGAGAGCGCTGTAATTCCCGAGTCTCGTCTCTGTTTTGTTGATATGAGGCATGGAATTTCACCTCATCTAGGAGAACTCAGATCCTAGGAAAATTGGTCTGTATACTGCAAGATTTCTAACATGGAGGTCAGTGAATCCAACTCACTGTCATGCAAAGCTCTGCTGAAAGAAGCAATATATATAGAAAGAAGACTGAAGAGCCTCTGTACCTCCGTTTCTACAGATCCTCTAAATCCGACCCTTGTTTTCAGCCAGAATTCAGTGCCCAAATTGAGGCCCTACATGGAGCTAGCAAAGTTTGCTGGATTGGGTTTCACAAGAGGACATCTGCTCCATATTGAGAGTCATTACCAGAAACTTCCTTATGAAATCGGGATTCTACTGATAACACGTTCATTACCAGGGCCTTCTGTAGAATACAGGAGGAGATATGGTTTCTGCGTCAGAAATAATTATGTTTTTTTCTGAGACATTATTTTTTTGATGTTTAAAAAAAATAACAACGACAACAAAAACCAACTTATGTTCCTTCTTTCAGCTCAACCTTCTATATGCTAATGAATCTTAAATCTATATCTTTATCCAAACTTCTAGGCTCCAGACATGTAGATTCTCCTGGGTGTTCTTTAGTCATTTTAAACTCAAAATCTCCCAAAATCAAAATGTTTAAACTTAAAATCTCCAAGGTATGACTCTCGTGGGGGCTGAGGGAATATATTCTCCTCCCCCCACCCCATAAGAATGGGGTTCTCTCTCCGCTCTTTGGATGGTGCCATCATGCATCACATGCCTAAATCAACACCCTGGAATTCACAATAGATGTTGAAGGGTAGTAGCATATGCCACCCCAAAACATGACTGTAGGAATTCAGGACATGCTACCTCAAAATATGCTGCTTTGGTGTATTGATTATTTTGAGCAGTAATACTTTGAAAAACAGCAAATGCAGGGACAGAGTTTCTTTGAACTCCCCTCATCTGCCTAAAGACAGATCCTTGGAAAGGAACCCAATTGACAGAAATCCCGTCCCCAGGTGGTTTCATCAACCAGGGAAGATTGACTCTTGTCACAGGAGAGGAGACTAGAAGTCAACACCAAACTCAAACTTTACAAACTATCATACCTCCCATCTATTCTACGGGTCCATTCATCTTTCCTAAAAATTATCTACTCTCCCTAAGAGGCCTACCTGACCCCTCTTTCCTGTTAATCTGTCTTTGTTAATTTTCAGACCCAGCCAGGGACCCTAAGGGGGTCAAGGAAAAATCTTCCTCCCCTACACAACCCCTCACTGTACAGTACAGGCAGTAGTGTTAAGGACTGGTAGAAAAGAGGAAGTGTTTAATCAATGAGTAGGTTGTTGGGGGAATGAGTTTAGTTCAGAATGGGGTAAGAAAAAAAGCTCAAAATCATGGCTTCTCAATTTGGTCTAGGGCTGCAAGCTACTCAAAATGAAAGGGAAGCAGGCACATGGCCTGACTAACCCACAAACCAAAGATTCAGTCTCAAAATGGGATAATTGAAGCCCTGGCAGTGCTTGAAGTCAAAAACTAAACACAAACTGCCTTCCTGAAACATATATTTTAATTTAGTTCATTACTTTTGTATTAAAAAGAAACACATGCGCATACAAAACATTATATGCCTAATAATTCACTTACTAACATTTTCTCTTGCCTGTTTATTCCCTATGGTAAAATTTAAGCTTCTCATCCCTGTTTTCTTCCCCTCGTCAGTACTAAATAGTGAAATTTCAGTGCTGTCTCAAAACTGCAGATTCTTATTATTTCTGATGAAAGAAACTTCAGAAATATTAAAGGAGAGAAATATTCCCTCTTCCTCACAGCTGCAGCAAAGCAGAGGTTCTTCTTTATTATAAACTTGCTTCTGATAAAGTGGTGTATTGAGAATGCTCACAGGAGTATCACTCTGTCCAATGTGGAGAATAGGCGAAGTTGAACTAATATGAATCAGAATTCTGTTATTAAAGGTGACTTCTAAGGCAACCATATATCAGATTGTTATATTCAGAGAAATGTTACCTATGACCCATAATGATATACTATTCTGATTATCTTATTTGATTTGTTGCCCCGGAGTTAATATTTAAATTGGCATCACTGTTCTTGAGTAGAAATTCTTATTCAATTTCTTTATTAAGCCAGAGGAAGACTCTTGGAATTTTCTTATTCTCTACATTATAAAGGTAATATAAGTCCCATTACTGTTAGATTCTATATAAATAGCTTGAGAATCTTTTTCTTGTTTAAATGAACACATCCATACAGCTTGGCCAAGAGTGCATACATTAAATGAAAAAAAAAAAAAAGAACATTTCAAAGAAATGTGTCATTTGGTTGGGCAGATTTGGGCTGTCATCGACACCTGCCCTGGGGTAGTTTCCTCTTCTGATGGGAATAGTTCAGTTGAGTAATTCGATCGTATGTTGTGAAGATTCTTCAGTGCTTTAAAATATACCCCAAGCCTGATGAAACTGGAAATCCATTATAATTTCATTCTTTTGCTTTAGAATATTACACAGGCCTTGTTGCTTATCCAGGATGAGCCATAACTTCTCTGAGACTCAGTTTATTTATCTGTAAAATGAGGAAAATAACATCTATTTCACAGAGTTGGGATTAAATGAGATAGTGTATGTAGAGAGTTTTACAATACTGAGTAGTGCTCTGTATATGTAAGACATTATTACAAAACCACCACAGGAGGAGGTAACAGTTGTTCACATCAGCTACACTTTTGCGCTGACAGTTTAGCTCTTCTCCCTAGAGCAGGAGATTGCTGCTGCCTAAGGAGACTTCTAATATGAATCAGAATTCTCTTATTAAAGGTGACTTCTAAGGCAGCCATACATCACAGATTGTTATAAAGATAAGTTTCTACCTTGTGTTTAACGTTCAGGAAATCCTTTCAAAATCACTTTTATTTTATTTTGACTTCAGGAAGATGGTCATTCATACTGAGACCATAGAGGTAAGTTTTGAGCCTCTTGGGGGCTGCTTTTGTTCTCAGGCTTGAGTTTTTATAAGATTTGGATGCAATAATTTTTTTTAATCAAATAAGCATACGAGTAAAAGTTTTTATGTCAGTTATTACAATTTAAAGCATTGGTAACTGCTGTTTTATTACATGTAATTTTCCGAGAAATTCTTCAAAGCATATGAAATAAAAGGCAAAGGATCTTCAATTTCCTTACCGAGAATAGAAAAGATATGAAACGTTAAGCGTTAGAAAACACTTTATTGAAGAAAATATGCTAGCAACTCAGTAATCAACGAAAAATTTATTTGCTTTGACACTTCAAATTTAAATCTGACTGATAAGCAACTTTATTTAAAACTCTTCACCATTGTAAAGGAGAAATTAATATTTCTGGTCTTATCGTCCGTTACTTAAAGCGTTCCATCTATAGGACCAAATTAGCCATTGATGGATTGAGGAGGAGGAAACCGCATTCCAAGGGGAAAAGGCTGAAGGCTCTACTCTGTAAATTGGTACCAGTCAGCACACAGCTTTGGCGGAGATCCGAATCAGGTAAACGTTAAGTTTAGTTTTTGGTTCCTTCAACCACATATTTTGTTGAACCTCAGTCATAATGTAACTCTGACTTGCTTAGCTCGGTGTCAGAAGCTAAATAAATGTTAGCTATGGGAGAGGAGTTACAGTAACTAGGAAGTGGAAATGCAGGCTGAAACCTAGGGCATGCTTGCATTTCGAAAGAACCTGCTAATATATAAATCCCAAGCGTGTAAAAACACTTTATAAATTGCTCTTACAAACGTTACAGCAGTTTAAAGAAAAGGTCTGAAAAGAAAAATCTGTGATCGATAAGATTATAGAAAAGTACTGGAAAGGGGAGGTTATAAAAGATTAGCATAACAATCTTCTGCCCAATAAATAGGATTGATTTCTAGCCAATGAGATTACATGTTCGGAAATTCCTAGTTTTTCTGGCCCAATCAAGACGAGGCTATGTCTATAAATATGACTGCCTACGGGCTGGGGAGTAAAACCAGTGAGATAGCATGGCGCGTACGAAGCAGACTGCCCGGAAGTCGACCGGTGGCAAGGCCCCGCGGAAGCAGCTGGCCACCAAGGCGGCCCGCAAGAGCGCGCCGGCCACCGGCGGCGTCAAGAAGCCGCACCGCTACCGGCCGGGCACCGTGGCCCTGCGGGAGATCCGGCGCTACCAGAAGTCGACCGAGCTGCTGATCCGTAAGCTGCCCTTCCAGCGGCTAGTGCGCGAGATCGCGCAGGACTTCAAGACTGATCTGCGCTTCCAGAGCTCGGCCGTGATGGCGCTGCAGGAGGCGAGCGAGGCCTACCTGGTGGGGCTGTTTGAAGACACGAACTTGTGCGCTATCCACGCCAAGCGCGTGACCATCATGCCCAAAGACATCCAGCTGGCCCGCCGCATCCGCGGGGAGCGGGCTTAAGGCACACGTTTTAAGCTAGACGATTTAAAGGCTCTTTTCAGAGCCACCGATGTTTTCATAAAGAGCAGCTGTTTTCATAAAGAGTACCCACGTTTTCATAAAGAGCAGTAGGAACTCACCAGCTTTAAGCTTGGTGAGTTCCTAATGCACAAGTGTTAAGGGTAAAGTGGGTCGGGGAGTCTCGCACGTGCTGGGTGGTGAGGTTATGGAATTAAGGCAGACAGACGCTAGAGGGACCACCAGAGGCAAGGTCTGGGTCGTGTCGGCCAAGTACTGCTTTTATTTGCTGGCTTGATTTCTTAGTCCAGAGCGCCAACCTTGCTAAACTTTGCAAGAGGATAGAATATGTTCTACCAGTCGTTTGTAACGCGTTCCAAAGTGCTAGTACAAAACGTTAGCACAAATCTGAATACTGAAATTAAGTGACACTTTAGAAGGCCGTCATTATGTGATAACTGTTGGGATGGCAATCTGGGTTTTCAGCCCGATTGTACAGTTACTAGAACTAGGCCGGATGTTAGATAAAATCCTCGGTCCCCAAGTAGTTACTCGGGATTTCAACTAAATGGGGGCAAGAGTCCCGAGATGTGTAAGAACCCATCTTCCTCGTTGCATAAGACAGGAGGCGCAAACCGCGAAAAAAAATAAAATGTGGGCTGAGGTATTGTTGCAAAAACCGTAATCAAACTTCCACATAGTACAGAGGAGTAAAATGATGCAAAGATGAGAAAGTTAACTTGTCTTTAGCTGGCACTTCAGATCTCCAAGTAAAAGTGAAAACCAATTAACATCAAAAGACCACAAACAGGTGAAACTACTTTTTACATAATTTAGTGGTTAGTGTGAAATGGAACATTTTGATTGGTTAACAAGACATTTGTTCTAAGGGCCACTGAGGGAGCGCAGGCAGAACCTTATTTACATGGACTCCGCCCCTCTATGACGACACTGTTGGATATTAACCAATAAAAACGTAATACTGTGCTAGTCTTCATTTGCATACAGGCTCTATAAGTAGCGCGTAACCAGCCTGCTTCGGTGTAGTCGGGATCACTTCTACTGGCGTGTGGGGATTCTCCTGTGTGAAGATGCCGGATCCAGCAAAATCTGCTCCTGCTCCTAAGAAAGGCTCCAAAAAGGCTGTCACGAAAGTGCAGAAGAAAGACGGTAAGAAGCGCAAGCGCAGCCGGAAGGAGAGCTATTCTGTTTATGTGTATAAAGTGCTGAAGCAGGTTCATCCAGACACCGGCATTTCTTCGAAGGCCATGGGCATTATGAACTCCTTCGTGAACGACATCTTCGAGCGTATCGCGGGCGAAGCGTCGCGCCTGGCGCATTACAACAAGCGTTCGACTATCACGTCCCGGGAGATCCAGACGGCTGTGCGCCTGCTGCTGCCCGGCGAGCTAGCCAAGCACGCCGTGTCGGAAGGCACCAAGGCGGTCACCAAGTACACCAGTTCGAAGTAAGCGTGCAAGAGACGAACTAGAACATCTATTTTACCCCAAAGGCTCTTTTCAGAGCCACTTAATTTATCGGGGAAAGTGGCTGTAAACACTTGATAAAAGGTGGGTTTAGTTGTTGGTTGGTTGGTTGGTTGGTTGGTTGGTTGGTTGGGTAGGGTGGGCCCATGATCACGAGTGCTTTTGGATGTGGGGCTAGATTGGGACAGTGATTGAATGGTTGCCCTGTTAAGATCTAGGACCTCCCATGGTCCAGTGGTGCCACCTAGTGGTATGTGTCATGTTGCTGGTAACAAGTGATTGGTCCTTAAGGTGGTTCCTACCTAGTCTGAGTCCTCAGTGGGAGCTTAGGTACAGGAGGAGCGGGGAAGGGCTGTCTCTTATTAAACTAGTAAGCGAGTTGGGTTTTATTTTATTCTAGCGTACAGATAGCCCTATAGTTTCCCCAGTTGCTGCTGTTCCTTAATGTTTTAATCTGTTTTTAACATAAATCTCTAGGTGTCTGTCACAAACTTTCAACATCGCCAGATGCTTTAGTACGTTGGCCTACCTAGCCCCGTGACCCTCAACCAGATAGATTTCCCACCCCACCCCCTCCATCAGACTCCCCATGGGATATTGGCAGTATCTGGAGACATTTTTGATTGTCATCACCTGGGGAGAGGGGCGCTACTGACATCTAGTGGGTAGATGCCAGGGATGCTGCTAAACATCCTATAATGCCTAGGAGAGCCCCCACTACCAAGAATTATTTGGTGAATGATGTTGACCCTTGCGCCAAGGTTGAGAGACCCAGTGCCCAAAGACTTCCCTTCCTTCAGGATATTTTCCCTTCTGGGTTTAATCCTCATTTAGGTCAAACCTTTCCCCACTCCTATCCTGCTTTTGGTGAAGACTGAGCAGCACTTAACTTACTGTGCTTGTTTACACTCCTCCACAGGAAAATTATCTTCTCCAGGGCAAGGACCTTGTCTTGGTTCTGTAACTCCTGGTTATAAGGCCCACCTCCAAGCTTGCTAAACATACTTCCAGGTGCCTCTCCTGAAGTTCCCTGATAAGGTCCCGTTGGAGGTGGGGGACTGGTGAGGTGGTTTTTAGTGTTCTCAGGTGTATATTTTTAGAATAGATTTTGGGGGCATGGTGTACAAAAGGGCAGTTAACATGTGGGATGAATTTCTAAGGCCCTCTCAGTTCAAAACTTGCATAACTCAAGACCAATCCCGAAAAAGGCTGGATATTCTACCAAATAAAATATACCCTTGAGGCAAAAGGAAAAGTCTTAGCTTCCAATTCACTTGACAGTCGAGTTTTGAAATTAAGCCATTCCTGGTTAAACTTGGGGGAATTTAAAATGAATTTTTAAAATGCTTAAAATGAATTTTATTCATTTGTAATGTAGGAGTTCGAATTTACATCTAATTAAAAGTTGCATAAAGTGGGCTGTATGTGATTTCTTTCTTTCACTGGGAAATTAAGATTCTCAGTGAGTCATCTTTCCCTAGAGACTATCAGACAAGAGACCAGGGAAAGATGACTCAAATGAGAATCTAAAATTTCTAGTTGAAAGAAAAGAAATCATTATACAACACATTTTATGGTAGGAAAAATCACTCTATAAGTGAGAATTTACATGTGCCAGACCCTGTGCTAGGTGATGGGGATATACAGGTGCTCTCCTTCCCAAGTCCATGAAGTGCACCTGGAATTTTATTTGCGACCAATACATCAAGTATCCTCTGGGAAGTTTTTTTTTAAGTTTTAGTTTTACCCAATTTTCACTGTAACATCTTTCAACTTTTTAATCATCTGATTTTTGTAAAATGGAATTCTTCATCGTTCCCTTTAAATTCTGTGACTAGGTGTCATTATTTCTGTACTCCTCATCCAGGTTGTAACATTTTCTTTTCACTTTAATATGTCTCTTTAAACTTAAAATTTTCACATAGACTATTTTTTAGGGTTTTTCATTATATTGGAAAGTTCTGGCTGTCCCACCCTCTTGCCCGCAAAGCAATTTAAGTCTCATTGTACTTGGCTCCCAGCATCTCAAACCTGCTGAAGCTTTCTTTGTTCACCACGATCCTAGCTTGAGAGAAATTTTATTTTCTTGTTCCCTGTGAGATTCATTTTCTTTTGCAGGGGGTATGACTATAGTAAAGCATGGGAATAAGCCTTTTCTCAGTCATCCCAAGTAAAATTTATCAGGAAATATTGTTGGCTTAACATGTCCCATATCCAACCGTACTCGACACTTCCACTGCTGTCTTCCCACTCCAAGCCACCATCACACCTCCCAGGTATTTGCAATGACTTTCTGACTGGTCTCTTTGCTTCCGCCTCTACCCTCACTCTATTTTCCACAAACCAGCTAGAGTAAACTTTCTGAAACCTCTAAGTCAGATCATGTCACTCCCACACCATCCTGCCCAACTGAAAATCCCCATATGGCTTCAGAGAGAAGGTCCACACTGATACAATGGCCCACATCCACCTCCTTTCTTACCACTCTCCCTTTTGTTTGTTCTGTTTCATCACACTTGTCTCCCTGCTCTACCTCGAATACACCAAGGCCCTCCTATCTCAGGGTCTTTGTGCTTGCCATTTCTTCTGGAAAAGCTTTTCCCCCAGATATTTATATGACTGGCTTCCTCATTTCTGAGGCTTCTGCTCAAAACTTCCATTACTCTTCAGTTCTTCCTTGACTTATGTAAGATAGCAAGCCCACCTCCCTCTCTCCCCCCATTTCTTGGTACTCCTTGTCCCCATACCTTGCTAAATTTTCTTCCGTGTATCATCTGAATACTAATGTATTTATTTACTTATTTGTTTATTACTGAATCAGAGACTGCTACTCATAAAAGCTGTTCTTCTTTCCTTACTTTAACCCCCTGCTTTATGGGTGCATGGCTTCTCAGTTAAAGGCTAATTTACCAGCTTTTCTTGCATCTGGGTTTGTTCATAAGACAAAGTTCTGAGCCAATGAGATATGAATGGAAGTGATACATATTATTTCTAGTTTGTGTCCTAAAAAGGAATAGATATGTACTGCCCTTGCCTTTTTACACTCTCCTCTGGCTGGGTTACAGATACAATGGCAGGAACTATGGCAGCCACTCTGGGCCCAGAAACAGAAGCCATGTGATGAGAATAGCAGAACTGTTCTACTAACCCTGGACGTGAGAGATGAATAAACTTGTATTTTGTTTAAGCCCATTTTTTTTTTAATATTTGGCACAATAATGTAGACTGTTCTCCAACCAATACGTTGTCTGACTCTCCTCCTACCTTCTCAGAGTAAGTCCTATGAAGGTAAGTACTTTGTTTTGTTCACTGCACTTTGCCCATCATCTTGAGCTGTACCTGGAATAGAGTGGGCACTCAGTAACTACTGATGGGATGAATAGATTGATGAGGGAAGGAGTGGTTGAGAGGGAGGGCAGTGGGATTGGATTTATGAGATGCAGAACTCTAAGAGTTGGCTTTAACAAAAAATGATTTTAAAAATCTTTTGCCCTCTGAATGGGGAACAGCACAATATGGAGTGAAGGTCTAGGTGAAGTTGCAGACACCATGGTCCACAAATCAGTTTAGAAGCTTCATAGTGTAAGTTGTTGGGTATTTAAGGATACTTACCTACACTAACTCAGAAGCAGTAAGAGAGTAAAGGAAAACTTTTGTTTCCTCTACTATTCTCAGTACTTCTGGCCACCAAGTATGTGGGTTTTCCACACCAAGCAATCCTGACATTAACTACGTGAAGTTAGTGCAGACCCCACAGGTTAAGGGCTCAGTCCAAAAAGATTGCCCCTCCACCCCCTATACCAACTTCAGACGCCAATTACAAGTAGTGGGTCCCTAGGTTACACACACCTCTGTCAGTCTTGGCTACAGATCAGGAGTTCCCACAACCCCCTCCTCAGACTCAATAATTTGCTATAACAGCTTACAGAACTCAGGGAAACACTTACATTTACCAGTCTATTATAAAGGATATAGTAAAGGATACAGATGACCAGCCAGATGAAGATGTACATAGGGCAAGTGTCCTGAGTGCAGGAGCTTCTGCCCCCGTGTAATTGGGGTGTCCATGTGGCTTCCTGGCATGTGGATATGTTCAATGACCCAGAAGCTTTCTGAATCTCATAGTTTAGGGGTTTTTATGGAGGCTTCGTCAAGTAGGCATGATGGATTATTAACTCAACTTCCAGTCCCTCTCTCTTCCCTGGAGGATGGGGGGTGTGGGTTAACAGCTTCAATCTTCTAATCATAGCCTGGCCTTTCTGGTGACCAGCCCCTGTCCTGAAGCTACCCAGGAGTCCACCAAGAGTCGTCTCATTAGAACAAAATATGCTTCTATTACCCTGGAAATTCCAAGGGATTTAGGAGCTCTATGTCAGGAATTGGGGTCAAAGACCAAATATTAGAACAAATGATGTCCTTAGCACCCCTATCACTCAGGGAATTACAAGAGTTTTAGGAGCTCTGTGTTAGAAACTGGGGGAAGAGATCAAACATACATTTATCATGTCACAGTCCAGCCCCTGGTCTCTGGCCATGGACCCCTTATAGCAAACCAATTATAAAAGTCAAAAGATACTGGCTGAAAGGCAGTGTACTGTAGTAGTGATGGGCATTAGCTTTGAGTCCCAGCTAACCCACCTAAGAGCTATATGACCTTGGGAAAGTTTCTTTACTCTTCTGAACCTCAATTTCCTCATCTGTAAAATGAGAAAAATAATGGAACCTACCCTCAAGACTTGTGAAGATTAAATGAGATAATGTACTTAATGCACTTAGTACAGCAGCTGGAACATGGCACATATTCGATCAGTGTTTCTCCCATTATTGTGGCTGGGAAGGCACTTGCATGAGCACCCTTGTACCTCCAGAGCACATTTCCTTCCCAACAAGTTGTGCTTTAAGAGATTTCTAGTGATTTGAGAGTCAACTCCCTAAGCATCTTGCAGTAGAGCAGTAAGACCTTCTTTATCTTAAAAATATC